TTGTGATTAGCCAAATTCATACATTACCAAGTCCTCCCCTATAAGTGCACAATGTATTTTTTAGTATTTATGGTTGTAATGTCATGTAATGTCCATTATATGTATGGTTTAAAGACATAAGGAAGTATCCCTTATATAATAAATAAAGTACTGATGCCTTCTGGCATCTTTGGCTTCAAGTTAACATTCTCATTGTACACTGTATGAGGAATCTGTTTGGATGAAGACGGATTAATGACAGACTAAACAAACAACTATAATAACAAAATTAGAGTATCCAGTTAAAACAACATGAATCCCTCTCCTGTGTCAAGCAGATGCCTGCACTTTTTCTCACTGCCTACCCAGCTATTTGTTTCCCTGCTCTGTGAGTAGTATCCTCACATTAATGACACGGACAATAAAACTGTTAGTGTGCCTGTGAAGTCGTCACCAGCCAGTCATTCCCCACTCTACCAACAGAGAACCTCATTTGTTACAGTACAAACATGAGACCAGGTTGAAATGCAGACACTGGGTAGTGGGGACTTGGGATTCATGTTGCGATCCTAGAGTGTTATGCGGCTAATTTGAAAGTTGCAGTTAACAGCCTTCAGCTCAGTTTCACCCTGCTCTGTTCTAGTTTCATCCAAATCACAAAGATATCGAGACCTCACTATATTTGAGAGCTGTGATACAGTTGAAGACCATCGGTGCCTTCTCCGTGTGGAGGCAAGGTTAAGGCTTTTTGTTTGTTGAAGGCAAATATTCAGGTGGGATTTCAGGAGGGACCATCAGTGTGGAGACTATGAAGTTGCTGGCAAAATCAAAAAAGTACAAAAGAAGAGAGAGTGAGATTTTTTTTTCAGGTCACGATTGTGGGGAGAAACAGGACCTTTCTGGAAATAAAAAAAAATAAGGCAGCCACACACCAGTGATATCCGATTAACCTGTGAGTTCTAGTGTTTTATCGTTTTGACGGGACATTTATTACGAAAATAGTCCTGATTACCACAATAAAGACGACAGCACTTTCTTTAACGTCTTGCTTTTTGTCCTGCATACAAACGTGTGTGACCAAGCTGCATGGAAAAGAGGACGATGGAGAAGATGAATTCACCATTCCACTTGGCAGTGAAGAAAGATACAAGACGTGAAGAAGGGGTTAACTGATTCCTTTCTGCATGAGGACTGGACTTCTAAGTAACAGGCTAGAGTTAT